TTTTTTTTGAAGCAGTCTACAAAATATACATGGGTCCAAAAAAATCATCCAGGGAGTCAAATTTTGTTGGCAGCATGGGTCAAGATCAGCCTGATCAGGATGCGTCAGAATGGTATGCCATACACCATGTGGGTCGTAACATTTTTAAGAAACATTTTTTTCATGTTCAATTCTTGTTGTAACAGATCTGTATTCCATTTCAATGCTCAGCGACACAATAATCGTCTGATTCGTTCCAAAGTGCAACATATTTTTTCATATAGAGTTGATAACAACACTTGGAAACTAAAGTATTCTGAGGGAATTTTTTGCTGCAACGGCATTTTATATAGATGTACTTGTATAAAGTGTATTCCAAAAACATCTATAAAAGCAATAGAGTCTTCAGTCTAATATCAGTCATCATTCATAATGATTTGCAAATATACGTTGGTATTTTGTTTAGCACTTCTTGGTGCCGTCATTACAAAAGATCAAATTGATTTCAATAACTGTGTATTTGATGTTTTATCTGTCGGTAATTTGAACAACTATGTGGAGTGTAAATTGAAACATGATTTTGGTTTCAGTAAATTAAAGCCAGCTCTAATTCGTCTTCAAAAAGTCTACAAGGAACCAAACAGAAATACCGAGTTGCCACAGTGTAGCAACGTCGGTTTTACGCTCATGGACTCTGCTGAAGATGCAATATTTAAGTGGTTGTATTGCACTTCCCAACGGCTTGGGAAGGGTCTTTCACAATTTATTTCATCAATGATAACTGTTTGTTCTGAACAAGTCTTCGGGTTTGAGACATCCGAATTCTTTCAACATCCTCCCAGTTCCACACCAAATGATGGAAGCTCAAAATTGGAAAACAGAGTGGAATTGAAATGTCCGGACCTAAGGTGTCCGGACCTAAGGTGTCCAGACTTAAAGTGTGGAGACATTAAATGTCCAGAACCAGTTCAATGCCCGGAGTGCAGTCCGAAAATGAGCTGCGCGCCTTGCAACGTGACCCTGATTTGCCCAAAGTGTGAGTATGAGCTTAAGAAAATTATAAATAACTAATATTGACATCTCGATCAAAATGAATTTTAATTTAATAGTATTATTATTTTTTACACTACTAAAATATGGGCGAACTTCACAAAAATATATGCATATTCAGTGAAAAATAATTTGAAACTGTTGCGCGTTTGTTGACTAACGCTCTACTCATTTTTTTCATTTTCAGGCCTAACTTACGCAAATCCCCAACCAGTATACCCCTAGGGGGGAAGAACTGTGAAAAATACCATGATTATTTTGAATAGCCGTGAATGAACATACGATATTTACATGCGTATTTGCCAAATAATATTTGTACATTTGATGCCTACAGATGGCGCTCGTGTTGCTGTCAGTATTCAACGTATTTGCAAATATGCTTGTGAATACGCTTGTGAATACGCTTGCAAATGAAATGCAAATATTGAAAATGCCGGTGAATATTCATAGTTCTTTCCCCCTAGGTATACCCTATTGACCAATAAATCTGATTATCTGAAGTGAAGCAACACCACACTTTTAACTTCTCAATATGCTGTAATGTAAAGTTAAATATACGCAAGTGACCGTTTAACTGATAGAATAAAATGTAAACACAGATATGTATGCATAAATCTGAAACATATCAATAGTTGAATAAACCTTACTTGAGCAGTCATCATTTTGACACCAACCGAAGCTTTCTGGTGTTTCAATAAGACAAGCGATCTAATGAATATATATTTCACAATGGCGACTGGAGTATGTCAACGGATTGATTTTAGATGTTGACGTTAGTTTCGAAGTTTCAAATTTCAAATGGATATTGTGGTTTTCTGTAAAATGTGTGTTAATTTGGTCCAAAAAATGGTCAAATATACCTCGAAAAAAAAAAACAAGTTTAACGCAGAAAAAACCATATGGGTACCATATAAAACACCCTGCTAACTTTCATATATAAATTTTCATGACAGCGAGTTCAGAAGCCATTTCAGATCACAACATTTCGAGGTATATTCTTTGACCAATAATTCCATTTTACCAAGACATCAGCCCTTGAAAAGGTATCCTGGGTCAGTTACAGTGTGAAATGACAAAAAAATGGTATTTTTTTGCTTTTTTCATATTTAATCCATACGAGTCGCCAAGTTCAGTTGCAGACATGCAAGAAATCGTAAAGAAATGGTCAATTAATGCACCTAAAAAGTATTAAATAGTAATTAGCAATTAGTATAACTCATGCGCTATCTTATTTATTTGGTTCAAGACGTAATTAGAGCAAGTATGAGTCAATAATTAATTAGTCATTGATAACATTTGCCTCTATGTTAACATGAAATAACTTTTCGTTAAACTCAAATCGATTAGTTAAGCCCAAAATCGTATTACCTTAAAAATTGCATGTATTTAAATGTTTTAAATTAATTCAAATCCAACCGTTGGAGTAGTAACATCAAATACCATCACGAAATTGATTTTTGAAATATTATTATTTTTTCAATAGGAAATTTTCTGGACTTCTTAGTAAATAGTAAGTATGAGCGAGCTTAGCTTGAATTGACACATATCAGTTTCTAATTAAGATCAAATTTTATGTTTTAGGACGTTGTGCGCTATGATGAAATTTTCCGTTTTAATCATGATAATTGCAAGTGGTGCATTGGCAGCTAGTGATCCAAGCAATGGGTAAGTTTCATTAACCAAATTTACACTTTTAATTCTGCATATTACAAAAATCGTTTAATTTTTTTTCTCTCCGTTTTTCAAAAATGTCTTAGCTGTAATCTGATTAAAGCTTTAAAATTTGGTAAGTGATCAAATCATTATGAAATTGTGAGTGACTATTCTTACAGAATATTCATTGTTTTTCAGAAAATGAGGCTAAGGCCATACGTCTTCTTGAAGAGGGAGCAAATGCAACTTATGTGGACCATAATGGACGTCTTCCAATGCATTTGGCTGCTTTATACGGTAGAAAAAAATGCATTAAAAAATTTTGAATTCAAATTTGGTCAATTAATGTGCATCTTATTTAATCAGGCTATGAAAAAGTGTTTCATTTTCTTATGGAAAACGGCTATAAATATCAAATTCATGAAAAAGATAATTTTAATGCAGGCATTCCACTGATGACAGCTGTCCGCGGAGGTAAAGTTGAAAAAAAAAGATGTGCGTATGAGAGTCAAATGGAATTAAATAGAGATTTATGTTTTCCCAGAACAACATAGAATGGCGGATTTATTAATACAGAGTGGAAGCGATGTGAACACAGAAGAAATGACAAACGTTGGATGGAATCCGCTTCGAATGGCCGCAAAAGATGGCGATGTAAAAATGATCGAATTACTCCTTGAAAATGGTGCTGATCTATATTCCACAAACGATTTTGGATTTACGGCACTAGAACTTGCTGAATTAAATAACCATTCAAGTGCTGTATACATTCTTCAAGAGGCGGAAAGAAAGTCAGTAGCCCGAAAAAAAGGTAAACTGAGTCACTCACTTGTACTTCAAATGAAATTCTAGTATTTGAAAATAATAACCAATATTTTGATTCGTTTGCAGAATTGCCGAAAAATAGCTGCAATTTCTAACTGTTTTGTGGCAAAATCCATATTCATATAACTAGGTTTTATTGATATGTTATGTCTGTAAGTAAAGGTTTATTTTCCATGATGAAACCAAATAAGTGGACTAAAATGAGAAAAATAGTCTTGTGACCATATTTTTGCACTCTTCGAGTATTCTATAAATAGAAAATGTGAAAATCATTGTGCTGTTAAAAAGATCTGAAAATACAAAAAATAAAGCAACAAATCCAAAAATTATATTTTGAAACTTGACTCTTTATGTATTTTTTTTACTTAGTCAAAGGGATACATTTTGATTTTTAATAGATGAACACAACATGTTAGAGGAAAAAATAGTGAATTATTTTATTATGTTGGTAATGAAAAATAGGTTTTAATCAAAGGTTTTTATAAAAATATATTTTTACAAAATGTTGAAAATAAATGATTTTTTTATAAATTTGAATATCACATGTGAAATGAATTCATAACAGATTAGACCTTCATAAACACTTTGGATTCCATGATGATAGCAATCTTACATTTATAGTTCTCACCAAATTTTACCGTAAAGCGAATCCATCCCCCACCAAAATTGTTGTCCCGGATGGAATATTGACTGTAGCTACGATTTGTCGACCAAATTCTACACTTTGTTGCATTTCAAGCACTTTGGATATGTACGGGAATCATTCGTCCAGTTCATATGATGCAAAATATGACAGCTTTTAATCGGTTAGCTTCAGATATTTAGTTTTGCGGTCGTTCAGTTTTTGTGCACAATTTGATTGTAGCGCGAATTTGCTGTACATTTTTAAGCGGAAGGAGCAATTTGATCGTTCAAACGTAATTAAAATTTAAAAACCCGTAAGACCATAGTTATGTAATTATCCAGGGCTCGAAAACGGTTTGACGTTTCTCATACAAACCGATTTCGGAACGGTTTCACTGCTTTGCTCTCTGTTGATCGGAGCAAACCGTATCAAGCGGAACGTTCCGAGAATGGTTTGTATGGGCAACGTTAAACCGTGCTGTCACTGTGTTAGTGTCGTACACTAACACACGTAAGTATTAACGTTTGTGTGTGCCATACAAACCATTTTTCGGAACGTTCCGAACGGTTTGGTTTGTTCATACACTCAAACCAAATATTCGGTTTGGTTTGGTTTCAATCCCTGTAATTATCTGCTTGACTTGATGGAAATAAACGCCCAAATATGAAATAGGACATAAAAATGTAGAATCATTGAGAACATGGGTAAGAAGTAAGTATTAAAAAAATACGTAAACTTGATCACATCATATAAGACGCTATCGAATGGGTCTTTCAAATGAGACTTCGTAAAGAATTCGTAATGGAACGATCAAATTCAAAAAACTCAAAGCGCTTATATACCACAGATAGCGTTCGGGATTGGAATATTGATTTACATACTCGAATTATGTACTTATTTTTTTAAGAAAGCATGATAGATTTATCACATATGTAAAGATAGTTGAAATTATACACAAAAGTCGTTTTTGCATCAACGGAAATTGTGTTCTATAAACAAAATAATCATTAGTTAGATTCGGATAATAAGTAAATTAAATAAAGTATATTTCAAACCAAACGTTTTGCATTAATTTAGCAGGGAATCATCCGCTTGCATCATGCAGCAGTTTGATAAGAACATAAAGGGAAGTTAGTGTGGCTTATATTATTGTTGAGATAAGAACAAATGTGTAAGCAATAAAAACTTAGATGTTAATATGTATATCAAAGAATAATTGTGACACTGAGCATGCAAATGGGTAATATAGCTCTGCTACAGCTAAAACCGAACATGAAAAATTTGTATCTGGAAATATAACATGAATCTCCAACTAACACGAGTGTAACATGCGCTGCGGTCGCTATAGTATTCTTATGATACGCTTTAGCGTGGCAGAAATTCATGTTAAGTTTTTATGAATCTATTTTCGTATATTGTTTCTTTGTTATATTC